TGAGGGAGATGTGGGGAGATGCGGGGAGATGCGGGGAGATGTGGGAGAATTGGGGGAGTCGGCTGGGGCCAGGCACGGGCCGAGGAGAGATCGCTCCGAGAGGGCCCGAGATTTCCCGAGAGAGGTGGCGCGAGTCGGCGGGGCGCAGCTCGCCGCAAGACTTTCCCGAACGGTGCGGTGCGGTGCGGTGCGGTGCGGTGCGGTGCGGTGCGGTGCGGTGCGGTGCGGTGCGGTGCGGGGCCCGGCGCTTCCGCTTGCCAAGTCGGAGGTGCGGTGTGGAGGTTGCTGCTCCGCCCTCCAGACCCCCTCCCTCGGCCGCAAGGTGACGATGCAGCACTTCCGGCGGATCTCTCGCGCGCCGCTGCACCCGTGCCGCAAGCTCTCCCTCTACTACATCCTGCCGATGCGCTGGCTGCTCCTGACCCTCTCCCTCATCACCGTCTTCGGCGTCCCATTCATGGCCGTCTGGCAGGCGGGCTGCCCCCGCGACCGACCACGACGCCCACGCCTCCTCCCCCTCCGCCCCCGCGCGTCGCTCACGCCGCCGCCGCCCCTCCGTGGCCACGTGTTCCCCTGGCCGGCGCAGGTTCCAATCAAGGGCGTCTCGGGCACCTTCTCAGACCCGATGCATGTGGGCACGCCTCCGGCGCGCCGCAAACACCATCAGCCGCCCTCCCCCGCCCCCGCCTCCCCTCTCACCGGAGCTCGCATCGTGGTGCAGGAGACGCACCCGCTGCTCAAGGGAAACACGCGGCTGCTCGCGCAGTACCAGTGGCTCTGCTTCATGACCATCTTTTTGGTCGTCGTCATCAACGCCACCCTGTACGAGTGGCGCAAGCCGTGGCGCATCCTCTTCGTCGCGATCTTCGTCATGTTTGGCCAAATCTACCTCCTGTTCACTTGCTGGCCCAAAATCTCTCTCGCCGGCTGCGCACTCACCCCCTCGGCCAAAGCCTCGACCGTCCTCTCGTCGCGTGTAGGCTTTGCCTCGTCTCGCTCTGGCGCATCTCGCGAGGCGCGGCCCAGACAGACGCCACGCCACAGAAGCCACGCCTAGCACAAACGACGGACCTCTCCGCGCGCCGCACGAGTCCCGCCTCCCCGCGTTCACCCCCTCGCCCCCCCCACCACCACCACCACCACCACTGGCAGGCACCGACTCGGGGTGGGTGGTCACCGACCGCGGGGGGGCGAACAAGACCAAGGGGGGCTTGAACCTGCGGCTGCCCTCCAAGATGGACCTCGAGGCCCTCGCGCGCCAGATGGGCCAGATGGGCGTCTCCACGGTCGGCATCTTCGGCGCGGATTTCGCCACCGCGGGCGCCGCCTCGGAGAAGAAGACTTCCGACCACGTCGACGCCGAGTCCATCTCGAAGGCTGCCGCGGCGTTGGCGGACCACAACCACTCTCAGCGCACGCGCGGCGTCGACGACGACGACCTCCTTGCTGCGATGGGAGGCGACGGGGCCGGTGCAAACGGCACAGCGAGCGGCGCGGGTGCGGCAGCGGGCGAGCTGGCGGTGCAGACTACTTCGGACGGGCGCGGCGGCGAGGACGACCGTCCCGCGTGGCTCCGCTGGATGCAGGGCGGCGGGGGCAACTACCAGGCGCTCCAGTCTCCGCGCCGTTCGCAGCAGCCCCCGCCCACTCCAACGCCGCCGAACGCGCCCACGGTCACGACTCTGCTTTGAGGCGGGGCGCGTCCGCGAACACAGGGAGGGCGCTCGGCCGACAGCGAGAGTGACACCAAGCACCTTCTTTGAGTATTCCGCCGGCAGAGGTGGTTCCTGATGGCTCTAACAGCTTGCGCGCGAGTTAGCGGCGATAGGGGGGGGGGGAGGGGTCTAGCGGTGCACCATGCTTTGCGGGATGTCGATGAGCTGGGGCGAGAGGCTGCTCGATCGGCGATGAGGTCTTGCGCATCCTGTCGCAGTGGCTTCAACCGCGGCGCCTCGAGACGCTCTCTTGAGCCTCGACGCCGATTCCAGTGCGCTGTGATTGTGGCGCGAGGTGTCGTCGTGTCGAGTCAGTGAGACTGGCAGACTCGAGACCGTCCGGTCGACAGAATGCGAATCCGAATGGCACGGTCTGCCGAGCCCCGACGTCTCGCAAAGGAAGCAAGTTTAAAACGCGTTCACATGTCACGTCTCGCAGTCACTGTGCATTACGTCGATTTTTAGTAAACTTTGAGCTGCTTTCGATAGCCACAGAGCGCGGGCGGCCCCGCTCGGGTTGGCCCATTTGCCATTACAGCCCCACACTGCCCCCACAACACGCCCCACCACGCCCGGAGGCCGGAGCTCTCGGTCCACGCTCCACGGTCGCTCGCACGGTCCACGGACCCCAACGCGCTCCCGGCGCACTGTGGGCCAAGAGGGGAGAGAGAGCAGCTCGAAGGCCCTTCTAAGCGTCGAGCAGCGACGCAGCAAGAGCACCCGCACGCCGCTCACCGGCTGCGCGGCGCGCTTGTTGCCTCCTCCAAGTATTGTGGCGCACGTCGCGCCCACGTCGCGCCCACGTCTCACTGCGGCTCGGCGGGCGGCGGCTGGAACTCCTCGCTCTCGTCCGTCTTGTAGAGGATGGAGAGCACCTGCGGGCGACCGGGCGGGCCTCAGCGCCTCGCTGCGCGCCTCGCGGCCTCCTGCGCGCGTCTCGCTGCGCGCCTCGGCGACGGTGACCGTCTCCTTCTCTGGGAAGTGTCTAGGAAGCGTCTAGGAAGTGTCTCGCTGCGCGCCTCAGCGACGGTGACCGTCTCATATATCTCGGCTATATCTCGGCTATCTCGCGCCTCTGCGACGGTGACCGTCTCCTTCTCGCCGAGCGGCGAGGATGCCTCCTTGGTCTGGCACAGCACCTCGACCTCGCGCAGCTTCCCAAAGTAAAAGTCGCGCTCGCGCTCCAGGTTCTCGACCGCCACCCGCAGCTCCGCTGCCTCTCGGGAGTGCTCCTCTCGAGCCTTGCACAGCTCCGCCGCTGCCGCCTCCGCCGCCTCCGCCGCCGCCTCCACCTCGCATGGTGACGGGCCGGCCGATGCCGGCGGCTGCGGCGGCGCTGCGGCGGCCTTGCCCGCCTGCTGCGGCGCTGCGGCGGCCTTGCCCGCCTGCTGCGGCGCTGCGGCGGCCTTGCCCGCCTGCTGGCCGGCTCCGGCGCCCACGCGGCGCGCGCCGGACGAGACGACGTCGCGCGGAGGAGGGGCGCGCTTTGCGGCGGGCGTGGGCGCGGGCGCGGCAGCCGGCCGGCTGGGGAGCGAGTTCTCCTGCGTGGGGCGGGGGCGGGGGACGAGGCTGGGGCGGGTGAGGCGGCGCGGTGCGCCGCGGGCGGCTGGCCGCGTCGCACCTTGGCCTCTGCCGAGGGTGGAGGGGCGGTGGCGGAGCCCAGGTGCATGTCGGCGTAGCACTTCATGAATTGCACAAACTCCATGTTGAACTGGAAGGAGCGCTTGGTCAGCTTCTCCACCTCGATGCGCTGGCTGATCTTCTTCCGGTTGAATCCTGCCTGGAGGCACTTGAAGTTGTGGAGGTAGTCCACCTCTGTCTTTGCAGCCATCTTGACCTTGGACATCTGCACCGACCCTGGGTGGACGGTGTTGAGGATCTGGCAGTAGACGACGCCGCTGGCGAGGTCCTCGACCTGCGAAGGGCGGGAGGACAGACTCTGTGGCGGGGCGAGGCGGGCGTGGAACACACCCGCCGCGGCGGGAGGCGCCTTTTGGAAGCTCGGCTCGAAGTTGTCGCGGATCCACTGCGTGAGCTCTTTGCGGCCAACAAAGTAGCCCTCGTTCATGATGCCTGAATCGCATCACACGGGACGCGTCGGGCGCCGTGCGGGGCGGGCGGAGCGTCGCGGCGTGGGGGGCAGGCGGAGCGTCGCGGCGTGGGGGCACACGCCCATGGAAGCCATGGCTGCTTGACTGGCCCAACGGCTTGAAAAAAGAAATTTATCGCGGCCATTGCGCGCGGGCACCGAAGGCTAAGCTCTTGAACGAGTGGGCGGTGCAGGCTGTCTGTTTACAGGCGCCGTCCGCCCGCGCGCGCGCCGACCCAACTCCGAGCACGCTCGCTCGCCGCTGGGCGGCGCGCGTCCACACTGCGTCGGCAACACGACGCAGGAGCTCGCTCACTGCTGCTGCGGCGGCGGCAGCGACGGCGACTGCGAGCTGACGGCTGACGGCTGTACGGCTGTACGGCTGACGGCTGGCGGCCGGCGGCTGCGGCGAACGGCGACGGCTCGGTTCGCGTTCGCCCCGCGACGGTGCGACTGAGCCTGCCACGCTCGATCTGGGAGCCACTCGGCGCCAGTTCGAGCGGCGGTCGGCTCGGCCACTGCGGGTGCGACGCATGATAGAGCTGCTGGGCGCCGCATCGTGTACTACCGACCCACGCCAAGGCGCGGGGCGGTGGTGCTCGCCGGCGCTCGCGGTGCTTCGGTGCTCGAGCGCGCTCAACATTGTGGTCGTTCAGGGCGGCTCGCACAGCGCCCGCAGACAGACACACACACACACACACACACACACACACACACACACACACACACACACACACACACACACACACACACACACACGCAAGGGCGAGGACACGCGCAGGGGCCGCACCTCTAGCGAAGCCCACAGAGTGGGAGACTCCTATCACCGCCCTGCCACCCACGTGAGCCTTTTGGCCGCCTCTGTCAGTGTGCCCGTGGTAGTGAGAGACTGCTGGTGAGAAGCCGGAGGAAGGTCGCTAGTCGAGAGAGATCGCCAGTGGAATAGGGAGTCCACCGTGCTGCGAGCCTGTCGCTGTCCCTTGTCAGGAGCAGGAGAACTAGGAGAGCGCAACCAGTAGGAGGCCCGCGCCTGCCCCCGTGCCGCCGGGTGCAACCTGTCCTATACGAGAGAGGAATCCCTGGGACCCTGTCGTGTGGGTGAACCCTGCCCAGCCCCCCTCCGTGTCGCGATGCGCTCCCCGCTCCCGTTCCCCTGTGTCCCTGATCGTCCTTCCAAGATCCTGCTCGTGCAGGTGGGGACCCTGTCCCTCTCCCACCCCTCGTTTGGCGTGCCCGTTTTATTTATTTATTTATTTATTTATCTGTTTTATTTCTTTCTTTTCTGCGCGCCCGTCCCGTGCCCAGTGTCGTGCGAGGGAGTTTCGTGTGAAAAAAGAATGGTTAGAGCGCTACGGCCTACGCCTGAGAAAGATGGTTAAAATCCCTGTGTGGTGGCGGCGTGCCGTCCTCCCATCCCTCCCTTGGTTGTCTGTTTTCTTTCTTTCTTTCTTCTGAGAAAGATGGTGATCCGCAGCTTGTTGAATGCCGCCCCGTGCCTAGTGTAAAGAAAGAAAGCAAGAGAGCAGACAACCCAAGCGCCAAGGGAGGGATGGGAGGACGGCACGCCGCCACCACACAGGGATTTTAACCATCTTTCTCAGGCGTAGGCCGTAGCGCTCTAACCATTCTTTTTTCACACGAAACTCCCTCGCACGACACTGGGCACGGGACGGGCGCGCAGAAAAGAAAGAAATAAAACGGAATAATGAGTAATCAATTAATAAAACCGGCACGCCAAACGAAGGGGTGGGAGAGGGACAGGGTCCCCCAACCTGCAACGACCAGGATCTTGGGAAGGACGATCCAGGGACACTGGGGTAACGGGAGCCGGGTAGCGCAATCGCCGACCACCGTAGGGGGGGCTGGGGCAGGGTT